GTATGACAATATTTCCTAAATCTAAATGTTGTATACACTCACACTCAACATAATTTCAACTCCTGATTTTATATGCCAGATAAATGAGTGTCTATCTCTACCAAACACATGCACAAGAATGTTCACATTAACATTATTGTTAATAGAAAAAGGAAAAACCACGGCCTATCAACATGAAAGTAGATAAACAAATAATGATATATTTGAATGAAAGAATACTATACAACAGTGAGATTGAATGTGCTGCAGTTGCACCCATCCAACATGGATGGATTGCACAAGTGTGCTGTGGAATGAAACAGTGCATACTGTATTCATCCACTTCTCTGTGATTAAAAAATAGAAACTAATCTATCATGATAACAGTCAAGCAAGTAAGTACTCCTTGAGGGCAAAATATTAGTGACAAGAGAGATCATGTAGAAGGCTTTGATGATCCTGGTAGCGTTCTGTTTCTTGGTCTGGGTCGTAGGGGTATTTATTTTTTTTGAAAATGTATCTAGCTGTATATTTATTTAAGTATTTTGTATATGTGCATTGTATATTGAAAAGGTTTTCCAAAAGCAAAATTCATACACTATTAGTTTATAAGAGACTTCAGATTTTTATTATTATAAATTTTTATCTCTAGTAATACCTCATATTAAAGTTCAGCTTATTTTTGTAAAATAAATGGTGCAGCTTTCATAGAATATTTCATATAATAATTATATTTTTTGTTATTAAACATTGCTGCCTTTGTTCTCCAAAGCAAAGATGTTTTATTCAAATCATGAGCACTTCTAATGTTGTTTCCAGGAATAAGGAGGTTTAGTGAACCTGGTTTTCTTTAGTACCATTATCATGCTCTGAACTCATTCATAATGGCCCATAACTCAGGACCATACAACTATGTTCTGAAAGAAAGAGCTTATAAGTAGATAGTTGCCTATGTAGTTTTGTGTTTAGAGGCAGCAGTGGAACCAGGGAAGTCATTTAGATACCGATTTTTTTTTTTTATCTCAATTGTCTCTGATATCTTCAATTCTATGTTGAATCTTTTCCCCATAATTAAAGAAAGCTATTCTATTAACACATAAACCCCTTGGGAAGTAATTTAGGTTATCCAATTTTCAGCAATATATTGCTACGAAGGCTCCAGATTTAATGGGGAGTGGGAGTTAGACTACATGGTCTGGAGGGGCTGCAATGTTGATGAAGGTAAAGTCTGGCTCCTGCCTATACAGACTGTAGCCTGAGGAAATTGGCATCCCTGGAGACAGGGAAGACCTGAGGGAAAATGAGCATGGAAAGGAATCAGAAGAAGGTGACCAAAGATAACACCACAAATATGCCTCCTTCAAATATGCACCAGAGGAGGAGAGAATGGTAGTAGAGCTCTTAGGTACCATAACTATATCATTTTCTTATGTTTATCTGATGGAAAACTATTGGCAATTACTTAGGTGGGTTGAGATTTGCATCAACAATATCTCCCACAGGATGACGTTCTGTATTTTAGTATTGGAATCATCACACAAATAGCAGCAACACATTATGAAAAGGCATTAACAATTGTCACTAAAATCACTTTTCCAAAAATTAAAAATCTACTAATTTCATTGCATTTTGCCTGCAGAGTAATGTAGCTTTATAGAAAGCAAGGGGAAACTCCATAACAACAAATTAGGCAAACACATTATTTGGAAACAAAAATAACTGCAAAATCTATGTTTCTGTTTACTCCAGGTGAGGTTTCAGAAGAAATATGAAACTACCTGAAATATTTAAAGGCATCACCTCTCACATGCCTTGCACATCTTATTTTGTTGTTTTCTACTCAAATTTTGTATTTACAGAATTTGTGGCAATAAATTAACTGCATTAAGACTCAAGTTGTACAGCTTAATGTACATGATTTTTACACGTTTTCTTGGAATATTAATCAACTGTAGGCATTTAAAGAACACACCCAACCTGCTCTGCTAAGAGTAGGGCAGTAATTCACACACATGATAAAATATTACTCAATAAATGGACAACACAGAGATTGTCCCCAAAGTTGCCAGGTTGTACGACATAAAAGGGCAGCAATTTCTTAATTTTCTATTTGGTTCCTGGAACTGTGCAATGAGCTGCCCTCCACATCACTTTCTCTTCACCCCAACATTATTTTCAAATGCCCAGCTGAAAAAAACAAAACAGGTTAACTCCCTATGTGAGAACCCTTTTGCCCTCAATCACTGTTGAGTTTCTGCCTTGGTTTAGAAGTGGGAATTGAATGGTCTCTCAGTTCTTTCAGAAATCTAGGAGCTCATGGGTCATAATTTCATTAATTTTTTTTAAAGTTTTTGTTTATTGCAGTAACATTGGTTTATAATATTGTATAAATTTCAGGTATACATCATTATACTTCTATTTCTGCCTAGATTACATCATGTTCACCACCCAAATACTAATTACAACTTATCACCTCACACATGTGCCGAATTATCCCTTTCGGCCTCCTCCCTCCCCCTTTCCCCTCTGGTAACCACCAATCCCAATCTCTGTCTCTATGTGTTTGTTTTTTGTTGTTATTATCTACTACTTAATGAAGGAAATCATAAATGTTCACTTTAGCATAAACACACTTTAACATTCAATGAGAATATTTAAGCGAGTTATCTTTTAATACAGATTGTTTCGTCGCACTGTATTTAGTAAACTATTGTGAGCAGTTTCTATACATTCAATGAAACATCTATGGGACTGTAGAAGTTTACTTATCACCACTGCATTTCAACTTCTGTTTCATAGTATGAGGTTGTTAGAGACAACTCAGAACACCTGTGATAATATATAAACCATATGATAATGTGTGGTGATAATTAGATAATATAAAACACCTGAGAATGTTAAAAAGGCCAAAATTGTCTTTATTTCAAGTCAAATCTCTTTGATCCTAAAGGCCATTTGTTAAAATTCATTTTAAAGAAACACCTGGCTATGATAAATTATTTAGGTAGCATTATACTCACATCAGAATTTTTATGATATGAAGAATTGTATATAAAACAAGTGGCCATTAACAGAGAATGTATTCTATATACATACAGAATAAATAGAATGTATATACATATACAGAATATATATATGTTTGTTCTGGTATCATTTTTATTTAAAAACTAAAAATCAAATAATATAGGGAAAAATCAAGTTATCCCTAGGCAGTGTGAATATGGTCAGTTTTTTGCTGTTTTTACGAAGATCTTTATTTTTGTAAAAAATTTTATTTACAAAAATCTTTATTTGGTGTTTAATGGAGAGTGTGTGTGTCTGTGTGTCTGTGTAAGTGCATGAGCATGTGTGGGTGTGTATTTGTTTTGTAACTGATAGAATCAAAATACTTGTAAACAAGTTGGTGAACTAGAAATAAGATGTATCATTGACTGGAGTGATTTTACTCTTGGCAAATAAGTACAATATTGGGCATTAAGGTAGAGAGAGACAGAGGAAAAGTTTTTTAAAATGTTCTATATTTATTTCATAGTCACCCTAACTATACAAAACATCAGATGATAAGCCATATTATCATATCTGTCACTTATTCCTAAGTGACCAAGTGTTCAACACCCAGGGACCAAACACAAACATGCTTATATAACCCAGGTCAGTCAGGAGACGATGCTGAACCTCCTGTAGACAGAACTGCAGGCAACAGAGGAGTCAGTAGTTCTGGGCCAGGTACTAATATTTTTTGTTGTTTCTCTGATTTATAATTTATACTTCTTTAGTTCTTTTTTCCTTTTTTGACTGTAAGCATATTATGAAAGAAAAGGAGGATATGAAATATTCTACAACTTTTATTTTAATTACTTTATCTGTTAATTTTAAATTCGCATATACATAGAACAGCTGGGGAAAATAATAAAATGCAAGTGTGCTTTCTGAAGGTAGCTGGACATTTTTTATTGTTTTAAATCTTTCCCTGCTCTTTTATATATTTTTAAAAATATTTTTAGTTTTAAAGGAAAACATTTTTTTTAAATGCTGTATCTACAGGGACAGATATTTAACCAAATTTAGGCCAAAGGTTTGGAGAGCTGCACATCAATCACTAGATCATTCTTCATATATTCTTTTTCTGTTCCTCATCTACCCCTAACTCTACTTTTCTTACATCCTCATGGAACAGAGGAGGTCCTGTATGACATTATATACAACATAATTGGTTTGGGTAAAATATAGCAGTGGAACAGAGAATTCAATTGGCTTCCCAAGGACCACCATCTCTTTTAAACCAGCAGAAGGCAGATTTCAGAGATACTCAAGAGAAACAGGGATTAAAGAAAACAATAAAACAATATTACAGTTTCTAGGGGTTGGGATGGGAGCACAGTTCAGACATGACCCTCTCTGACGTCATGGGACTGTGGACACACGATATCATGTATTTTAGACATCTGATCTGCTGGTGAATATATCCAGTGGGTCCTTGATCACAGACTATCTCTATCCCTTGTTTATTAAGACTTTATAGACCTGAGGGATTAACAAAGAAGTGGAGGCATTTTACATCAAGGAACCTGCCATAGCTCTGCCTATTCTACAACAGTGTATTACGGGGGAATAACACATGAATATATTCATTACCTGAATCTCTCACTTAAATATACTCCTCTATTACAGCACATAACAACATTCCTACAACACTGAAAAAAAAGAACAAACTTGTGAGAAGACATGAGCTATCGGGAACAACTAATTGCAAGAACTGTTGCCTGGACTCTGAGGATGTCAAATCTTAATATTAGAAAAAAGTAGCAAAAATGATCATAAATACTACTTAGGTTGGTATGGAAACAACATGATTTAATTTTGATGAAATTATCCCACAAACTCTCTACAGTGCTCTACAAATGTAGGCAATATTATTATCATTATCATTCTATTGATTTATATTAAATTGGATATAATTCCTGGAGAGTCAGTTTACCTAAAGCAGACTTAGCATTGTTTATCTCTTTTTCTAGTTACTGAAAAAGAGAAAGAACTAGCAGTTTAACTATTAAGATAGTAAGATGATGTTACCCTCCACTTCCATTTCCTTCTGACAACCAGGGATTTCCAGACCCGAGAGATGGCTGTTGAGAACTGCACTGTGTTCACTGACTTCATGCTCCTGGGACTTTCTGACAGACAGGAGGTGCAGCAGGGGCTCTTTGTGCTCTTTCTGCTGGTTTATGGCCTCACTGTGATTGCCAATCTGGGGATGATCCTGCTGATCAAGATGGAGCCCAGACTCCACACGCCCATGTATTATTTCCTGAGCAATCTGTCATTCTGTGATGTCTGCTACTCCTCCACTGTCTCTCCCAAGATGCTGGCTGATTTCTTATTTGAGCAAAAGAGAATTCCATTTAGTTTATGTGCCATTCAGATGTATTCTTTTGGGGCCTTTGCAGATGTGGAATGTCTCATGTTGGCTGTCATGGCATATGACCGTTATGTAGCCATTTGCAATCCACTTCTTTATACAATTGTCATGTCCAGGAGAGTCTGTACCCAGCTAGTGGCCTTTGTTTACGTTGTCGGCTTGGTAGATTCAGCAATTCACACCTGTTGCACATTTCGATTGTCATTCTGTAATTCCAATATCATCAATCACTTTTTCTGTGACATCCCACCCTTACTAGCCCTGTCCACCTCAGATACATCCATCAATGAAATGATGATGTTCACTTTCATTGGCTGTGTTTTGGGGTCCAGCATTGTCACTGTCCTCCTCTCCTACAGCTACATCATGACCACCATCCTTAGAATGAACTCAGCTGAGGGCAGACGCAAAGCCTTCTCCACATGTGCCTCCCACTTAACGACTGTGGCTATATTTCATGGCACACTCCTGTTCATGTATTTCCGACCCAGTTCGAGTTACTCCATGGACACGGACAAAATGGCCTCTGTTTTCTACACAGTTGTCATCCCTATGTTAAACCCACTGATTTACAGCTTAAGGAATAAGGATGTGAAAGGTGCCCTGAAAGAAGCAATTGACACTAAAGTATGTTCTGAGTGAAACTGTGTTTTCATCCAATAGTGTTTATTTAAAGATTCTGAGAGCTAAAGTTCAGGTACTTGGACATACATTTCTATAGTCTCACTAATACACCTTCTAGAAATTGTTTATTAGTTATCATGTGTCTAAATCGAGTGTAGGGAGCAGTCGTTATTTACCTTAATCTTCTCTGAAAACTAAGAAAGAGTGCTGGGGCCAGCCTAGTGGCATAGCAGTTGAGTTTGCGCGTTCCACTTCAGCGGCCCGGGGTTTACTGGTTTGGATCCTGGGTGCAGACCTACTTACTACTCATCAAGCCATGCTGAGGCGGCTTCCCACATAGAAGAGCTACAACTCTATAACTATGATACACAACTATGCACTGGGACTTTGGGGAGAAAAAAGAAAAAGAGGAAGATTGGCAACAGATGTTAGCACAGCGCCAACCTTCGTCGTCTTCTTCAAAAAAGATATATATAGAGGTTTAAGAAAAAAAAGAGTACTAATAGGTTCACTTTGCTGTTTTGCAAAGGATCATTTTATACTTCCATTCTGTATTCATGGGTATGCCCTAGTGGGATAGAATGGGCACAGAAACTACAACGCTCATGTCAATTCAACTTACCCTCCTTAAGGCTCCAATATTTTTTTTCAATGAGTTTAATAAACTTGCTCAGCCAGAAGGGGGTGTTAGTGGGCTAATTTACGTTTGTTTGTATCAGTCCTATGTACTAGTATCACCCTATAAACATTCCATCATAACACTTAGAAGTTTATAAGTGGCAAATGAATAAATAGGAATAAAAGAAATCCCCTTCCCTAGACTAAAAGTTCTGTAAAGACATAGCCCTTGCCTGTCTTGTTCACCATTTCTTCTGCTTCGCTATTTATAATGTTCAGCTTCAGAACACCATTCAAAAATATTTATTGAGTCAATGAATGAGTGTAGCCTGAAAAACTGATGCAAAAACGAACCTTCGTAAATTTACCAAAAAAAGAACTCCCTTCTTTAATTTTACTCAGATATGTTCATTTCAGGTGAAATCTATCTGCACTTGTCTTTTGGCCTAGGCTGAAATGAGAATCTCGGACATGAATTATTTGATGTAAAAATATTCTCAGATTATTTCTCAACCTTCGGCCTCAATTATATTAGCAGACATCCCCCGGATCAGCAGCTCTAGATTTATATTGCACCCCACAGACTTCACTTCTGCCTGTGGATTCCCCTTCTTGCCCTCACCCTGGAGAACAGATATGTTGCTATTGACAACGGTACAGAAACTGCATGAATTGAAGTTGTGGGTAAAGGCCCTGGACCCTCTCCAAAGGCCACTGGGAAACAAGTCTCTATCTCCCTGATGTGTTCAAAACATTATGCTCGTTAAAACAAAACAAAACAAAACAAAAAACAGTGAAATGCCCTATTGATACAGTTTGTTGTAAAGGAAGAATTATTGATGTAAATGAGTTATTAACATAAATATATGTTGCTTGGGAACAAACATGAAAAGTGATTTTTTATTAGCATTCCATCTGTAATGATTTATATTAGCTCTCTGTATATCTGTGAAATAAACTAGAATCATATTCTAAACAAAATTTTAATCCTGGTCATTGTTGAGTGGTTGGATGTTAGGTAATCCTGTAATCTATTCCAAAAACCTCATTAAGTTAATTGCATATGTTGTTCAGGCTGTAATCAATTAGTAATTAATCGAATTGTGAAAAACATAGCACAATTTCAAGTTGGTTCCTGGACAAAGAGAGCAATGGGTTATACAAGGTTTTTCATTTAGTTCCTCTTCCTTAATTTTATATATCCCTTAAGTATATAAAATGGGCTGAGTGTTATGCAGTCAAAACATCACAGGAATGAAAGAACATATTAAAAACATGCAACATTCAATAGGTTATTTTTCTTGCATTATGAATTGCACAGAGTTAGAAAAAATATTTCATTATCTCATAAACATTTTCTTTCACAATGTCAATAATTTATTTGTTATTCATACAATGGAGAATGAACCAAAAAAAAACTGCGAGGGAAATATATAGTTTCTGCCTAATATAAGCATATAATCTAAATTATAAATAATTCATGGTAAATTTATTCATGTTTATTTCGTAAAAATTTACTCAGTATCTACACTGGGGAAGATAATGTGATAGGGAGGCAAGGGATCCATAAAGAATAATAGTTAATGACTAAGTCTAGTAGAGAGGTAGAACAGACACAGTAACTATCTGATTAGACAGAAAATGCTGAGTCATAAAAGAAGAACGTTCGTTTAAGATTCTAGTGAGGTTTACAACTTGAGTTGTCGTCTGTAATTGAAGAGAGTGTCAGAAAAATCATATAGGAGTTAATACTTGAGGAAGGTTTTTTAGAGTGAGTACAATTTGAGCAGCTAAGATACAAAGTGAACATATTTACATGGAAATAATTAATTGAAAAAGAGTCTCAGTGAATTGCATTTACTTTCTTTCACAGAATGAGGGTTGTACTATGTCAATGGCTTACCCAGTATTGGAAGCAATTGTGTTAAAAATTTAGGATGGGGAGAGAAAAGGAGTAAGAATATGAGATTTATAACATTATATGCAGGGTAAATCTACTCCTGGAATAAATATCCAAAAAAATCAACTTTATTTTTTTAACCTCTATCTTATTAATAGACATTTAGATTGTTTTCAATCATTTGCTACTACAAACTATGATGCAATGAATACTTTTGAAAATGGTGAACTTTTATAAGTTCAATTCCTAGAAGTGGAATTACTAGTTAAAATGGTGCATGCATATTTAATTTTCATATGTTGGATGGATTATCCTCCATAGAAAATGTCAGCAAATTATCCTCCATAGACAACACCAATTTACACTTCCACCAACAATGAATGAGTGTGATAAAAATATTAACTTTCAAACGCTAAAGAATTAAACATAATGTAAGTGATGTGAGAGGGCCTGGCTCTGATTAGGCTTTGACCCTATTCTGTGGTTGAGGCCTCACTACCCCCAGAACTGGGGAACATCTATATTAAACTGACTTTTCTGTCAGTTAGAACCAAAAGTCAAGAAACAGGTTGAAATATTGCCAAACTCAGTTTTATGCTTTCTTAAGAAAGCAATTTTCGGCTAATCACTTTCCTAAAGGCATTTTTGACATCTTTGTTTCTTAGACTGTAAATTAGGGGGTTCAACATAGGTTCGATCAATGTATAGAACACAGAGGTCACTTTGTCCATATCCAGTGAATGATCAGTGCTGGGGCGCAAATAAATGAAGATCAGGGTACCATGGTAAATAGTGACCACGGTCAGGTGGGAAGCACAAGTGGAGAACCCTTTTCTTCTTCCCTCAGTAGAACCTGTCTTAAGAATAGCTGCTATGATGCAGACATACGAGAGAACTGTTAGAAGGCAGATGGCTTCCACCAAACTAGCAAAGACCACCAGAACAATGTCATGTGTGTAAGTGTCAGTGCATGACAGAGAGAAGAGTGGGGAGACATCACAAAAGAAATGGTTAATTTCTTTGGAGCAGAAGGACAGGTGGAAGGTATTAGTGGTGTGAATAATTGAGCTCATAGTGCCCCCCAAAAATGCTCCAACTGCAAGCTGGCAGCAAATCCTCTTGGACATAACAACAGTATAAAGCAGTGGGTTGCAGATTGCTGTGTACCGGTCATAAGCCATGGCAGCCAAGAGGAAAGATTCCGTGTCAATCAAAGAGCAGAAAAAATATAACTGTGCAGCACAGCCATTGTAAGAAATGGTCTTCTTCTTGGAAACCAAGTCCACAAGTAATTTGGGGGCAATGACAGAAGAGGAGCATGCATCTATGAAGGACAATATGCAGAGGAAAAAGTACATAGGGATGTGCAAGTGGGAACTGATTGTGATTAACAAAATCATCCCAAGGTTCCCCACAAGGGTAAGAGAATAGATTGAAAAAAACACAGCAAAAAGAACCCTCTGAAGTTCTGGATGGTCACTAAATCCCAAGAGAAAGAACTCAGTCTTCACAGTGCCATTCTTCAACTCCATTCCCTTCAGCCGTCCTGGATTTCTGAAGTTGTGACAGAGTAATGATGGCGATATTAATAATAACTTCAACATTAACAAAAAAATAAAAAATAAAATGATCAAAATAAGTAAAACAGTACTTCTAAATCCACTTCGGCATCCTGACAGCACCTAGGCATATCTACAGTTATTGTATTATAATGCGTAGGTTTTCACTTTTTTTTATTGAATTGATAATTCACCACTTCTGTTCCTTAAAGCTATTGCTTTTCAAATTAAAAGGCCCCACCATCAAACCAGTTGCTGAACCTAAACCGGCCTTCACTCTGACTTTCTTCAACTCTCCCACCTTCCACGAATGTCAAGTGATTGTGGCCACCCAAAGTGCTAAATAGCAAACTCTTAATAAATAGCCTCTGTTCCCATTTGTGTTGTTTTTGTTTATTTCCACAACATATAAAAGTATTGTTGTTCAAGGTGAAGCCTTGTAAAGATAGAAGAGCAGAAGTTCTGTATTTCTCACCTTGTGATGTGGCTTTGTCTCTGAGGAACAAGGAGCTCCTTAGAGTTGTTTGAAATTCACTGGTAAAATAGAAAGAAAAAAGATTCTAATTTAGTTATATAAGTGACTGAAGCCTAGTTACTTCACTAAGTGATTGTGAAACCTTGGGCAGGCTAATTTATCACTGAGTTTTAGCTTCATCGCCTATAATATGAGAATGATAGTACCTTTCTCATCAAATTATAGATGGTAATGAATTTCCTTCTACAGCCTCAATATCCCTACCATCTTGTTCCTTCACTTTTCTAAGGTTGGCAACATAGCAATTCTGAGTCAATCCAGACATCTATTTTATTTTATCTGGAATCCAAGATATGGAATACAGCTAGAGACATCTTCATGCTTACAAATTTATTAAATTCAATCCAGGCAATATTATAATGATATCCAGGAAAGTTTCCATGCCCTCTGTAGTGAAAAATTATAAAAGATGTTGAAAAAGTCCCGCCTACCTACTTCTCTCAGTTATCTCTGCCTTTCATTGTCTTTGCTCTATTTTACAAATCTGTACCTTGTAGACAACTGACAGCAATGCAAGTGATACTTGTCTACAGAGATGCACATTTTGTCCAGTGTAGAGACAGTTTATTTCCCTCCCCACAGTGGAAAAAGTCAGTTTTGTATCTATCTGTATATTTATTTGTGAATTCCTGACCTATAATGTTGTGGTTCCTTGAGTTGTCTTTTGTACCACTTATAACTTATTAATTAATGGATGAATTAAGTAAAATGATTGACACATTCACTTTATCTTTGCCTAAAAGCCATAATTAAGTGATATATGTATGTAATACATCTTATCTATCTATCTATCATCCATCTATCTATCTATCTATCTATCTATCTATCTATCTGTAATTGTTCTTTAATACTTCATATTGCTAACAGCTATTTCCCACATTTACTAGCTGTTGCACCCCTTCACTATTATTTTTAGGTCTCATTCTACCATCTTCTTCTCACTCCCAGAGAATAATTCCTATTTTCTATTTTGTGGAGAATAATATAGAATAGCAAATAAGTATATCTTCAAGTTACTCATTGAGTCGTCATATCAGCATTTGGATTCATCAGACTCCCTCTCTCCTTCTCTTCCTTTTCTGGGGGAAACATGCCCCTCCTCTCTGAGATTAATCTCTTTAATTGTGCATCCAATTCTGAGTATCTATGCCAATTAAGATACTTATACTATCACTGTTAATCTTTCTCTCCTAAACTTTCATCACACAACAAAGTTTAAGTAAATTTCAACTTTAAAAATATTACCCTGTATCTACTTCTATTTGTTTTCCTTCATTTCATTGCAATGTTTGCTTACAGGCATCTACACTGGTTTCCACTTTCTCACTTCGGTCTACTGAGATAGGATTTTTGTCCCCACAACCTAAAACCCTTTTTGTTCCAGATCCCAAACTACATCCTAACCGTCACATCTGAAGATTTTTCAATATATAATGAACTTTTTTTCTCTATTCCATGTGATAGCTTTGACCTCTCCATTCTTCTTAAAATCCCCTCTTCTCTTGGCTTCTATACACCTCTCTCGATTTCACTCCTAATCTCAATACACCCCTATTCAACCTTCTTCACAGATGATGGCACTTTCCCAGGGTTTTATACTTGACCTACTTTTCTCCTCACCATATACACTATTCCTACTTAATTATATGCCCTTTTTTAAATACCACCTATAAAGTAATAATTTTCATATACCCATTCTGAAAGCATCTGTCCAACTCAAAGTTGGCTATCATATAGGCACATGTACATTTCAGCAAGCCTAAAACAATATTTAATTCTTATCACTTTCTAGAATTTATGCCCATCTATGATCCCTATCTTGGTATACATCTTTACCACCTACATTTTTTGTCCAAATGAGAAAACTCCCCTAGCTAAAAACCAACCAAGAACCATTGATTCAATATTAGAAATGTGGCAGATATCCAAAATTTCCTCTTTATCATTACTGACATTCCATTATTTAATGACAACCATCCTTTTCCTCAGTTGAACCTCTTAACTGGCCTCATTCCCTCCAGTCAATTGCCACTCTACTTTCAAACATGCTACAAAATATATCCATAAACCTCTGTAAGAGTTACCTGTATGAGGTAGATTTTGTATTATGTTTCTTTCCTGCTTAAACCCTTAAATGATTCCCTGTCCCCTACAAGCTCGGCATTTAAATACCTTTAGATTTGACATATATTTCCATTTTTATCTCATGGCCTCCTTCTCAGAACTTCATCTAAAAACATCACCAAAATCTTACCCCCTGCTCTTTCCTCAATCTGTTCCAGATTTTTAATAAAACTAAATGTCTCTACTAAAATTTGTATAAATTTAGAGTTAATAAGCAGAGCATAACTATCTCGGTAGTTACTCCCTGGGTACAGAAGATGACATACAGAGACAATAATTATTGTAGATTTCATATTATTACTCAAAGTTTAGTTTCTACCTTTATTCTGTTTCTAGCTAAATTAGGTGAATTCTGGGTAAATGTGCATATCTGGCATGAATATATTTTCATTTTGTAATTTTCAAAGTATTTTCATATCTAATTTAATTCTCACAGCTTGTTAAAATATGTTAAGAATTTACTATGTCTCAATTATATTGAAAAGGACTTGATGATTTCAGGCCAATTAACTAATCTGGGGTTGCATAGCTCTGCAATCAAAAGGCCAGGGTGAGATTGGAAAATCTGTATCATGGGGCTTGAGCACTCTCCAATAAATATCACCTTCCCAGAGATGCAAATGTGTCAGAGATGGTGGAATTTAGGAAGAAGATTGTAGCAAACAATATCATTATTTTCCAAAATCTCAATGTGCTAAATTTGATACAGGGACGTTAGTTTAAAACTAACTTAAGTTTTCATTTAGAGTACGTGCTGGAAGAGGCGGGTTTACTTCTCTTGATGCAGTAGCAGAGACAGCATGTTACGGTGATTAAAAGCAGGGACCCTGGACCCAGACGGCCTGGGTTTAAATCCGGCTCTACCGCTTAATGTTTTTAGGACTTCAGCTCTAGGGTTTCATTTTTTGATATATAAACTGCATATTATAGGAACACTTGTCTGCAGGGTAATAATGAGGATTAAATGAGCTATTACATAAAGTATTTTGAAGAGTGCTTTTCATATAGTAAACATTCGATAAATATTGTGTTATTATTCAACCATAAAGACAAGTTTGAGCTTCACTAGACATTAATATTCCTTATTTTATTATCAACCAGGATTCCCTTTTTGCTCTAAACAAAGGGTTAATTGGAGAAAGACAACATCATTGAGCTACTAGCCAACTCTTTGGAGTTCTCTCTTCCTCAAACACATGTGGTTTTCTCCTTAGAACATATGAACTCTCATTGAGTGACAGCCCATCTATACCTGTCTACAAACCTGAGAGACAAGATTGCCAATTGACCTAGGAGTGGAGCAATGGCCACTGCTGTGAGGGCGAGGGAAAGATATAGTTATATCCAGTGGATACTAAGAGAAGGGAGGATGCAAAATTTCTTTGTCGTGCCATTCTCTCCTTTGGTAATTATGAAGAACGGCTATTAAAAAGTAGGTATCAAAGGAAGAGGCTTATCTTAAGGGACGATGCTTAAATAAGCTTGGGGTATGAGCCCATGAGGAACCACCTCTTTGCTGAAGTTGTTTTCCATTAAACCCCTTATTTTAAATCAGAGATTTAAAGGCAATGAAGAAATCAATTTATATAGAGAATATTTACTTGTAATGATCTTTCAGTTTCATGTAATGATCTTACATGCTTTAAGATTGAAAGAAACTTACAGGATTCAAAAATCAAATATAAAAGCCAAATGGAACAATGGAAGGGGCAAAGAATACAAGAAACAAAAAATTAAGAGGAGTCCAAAGAGAGCCAAATCATCTGTTCTTCTATGCAATTGGCAGGTGAAAACGAAAATGGAGATTTCCAAAAGAGTTCAGCAAACTTCTATGTTCCTGCAGTAAGTTCTCTATATTGAGCCCTTGTCATTACTTTTGTAACTTGCTTTCTATTCCCTTAAAGCCAACCCCATAACCTCACCCCAGGCCTTCTACTTATGTATTGATAACTATTGATACCAATGCATTACCATAAGTTAGAATAAACAACATAATAAACAAATAGGGTCAGCTTTATTTTATATCTAAATCTACACAACTTTTAAAAAGGAATAATAGATCATGAGAATTGTCTTCATATTTATATTACATATCAGAGCCCAATAATGCTGAGGATTGTCTTAAGAATATTGTGTTAAATGTGCTTTTTTGTGGTTGCTATTGTTTTTGTTGAAAATACCCTGAAGACTTAAAAAGTGTTATTCTAGCCATATTTATTCTCAAAACATCAATTTCCTGTGTGTAAAATCAGTGACTATAAGAGGATGAACACTTAAAATCCTATCCAGCTCTAATATCCTAGGATTATGTTAAGAA